TTTAAATCCAATTGAGCTCCTCTATTTTCACTATTTGTGAGAGCCTGAGTGTTGCACATAGCCGCCCCGCCTCGCGCTCTGGGCCGCTGCTGCAGCATTCCCTGGCCCGGGTGACGTGTCCTAGACGGACTTTCCACCCCGGCCTCGACAGCCGATCGGCTGCTGGTGATCTTCACCACCTTCACGCACCGCTGCTGTGCGACCACTGGCGATCTCCATCGCCCTCCTGCACCGCCGCCGGCGGCTGCCGTGGACCACTTCCCACCTCCGCTAATTCTACGCGGGTTCTGTGATATGGCTTCCGCGGAAAGCGGATCGATCACCAGGGCTGGGGCTGAGAAAAGCCTCCCCACACCTTCCAGCGCATCTTCGCTGCGGTTCCCCTACCCCGTCACCGGCCGCGTAAAAGCAGTGGCCAACATCATGCAGAACAGCTTCAACAGCTGGGTTTCCAAGCTCAACGGTCGCGCGGCTTTAAAGGCTGCCCGTTTGAGCGATGTGATCACCGGAGAGCAGGTGGAGACCATGATCAATGGTCTCGTCAAATGTGAGGGCTATGATTCCTTTCCCGCGGATGTTAGGACTAAGATCCTAAATTACCGAAGAGGAAGGGCAGCCAACATAATCGCCCTGCTCAAGGATTCTGGTTTCATCGCCACTGAGCACAATGCCCTGACCGCTGCGGCAATCCTGTGCGATGCGATCCCCATCCGTGGCTCTGCCACCCACTACCTCCCTCACGCCCACATTGCGCCGCTCGGGCTCGATGAGACGAGGGATGTCGACTCGGCAGTACACCCCTGCTGTCGGCCGTCCGGAGGAGGGTGGTCTTCGTCCATCACGAACGCCGACGGGGAGTTGAAGAAGAACTGGAGGACTGAGTACTTGGCGGTCAAGCAGAACCAGTACCGGAGCTATGTCGGCTTCACAACCGACTGCTATGACATGGGTGATCCGCGCCGTTCCCAACACACGGGAGGCATCAGCACTTCACTCAGTACGAGCCCTCCATAGTGAGAAAGTGGCTACAAATGCGCCCTCTTGCTATGTTCGTTCCCCCAGAGATCGTTGTTGATGGCATCTCCCTCATTAAGGATAGAACCTTGGAGGAGATCATCGACATGTGTCAGGATAGGACCGCTAGCAGATCGATCGACCATCTGCCATCCATGGAGGCCTACGGCGGGTTTGGAGCGTTTGCGGAGCACATGACCTCTGAGCTGAAGGTCGCAACTGTGCTTGACCAGTTCTTCCTGTGGAACAAGGTTGAGAGGCTCGCCACCCCCGGGGTGACCAACGTGGCCCACGACTACGGCATCACGGCAGGCGAGGGGTATTGGATCGCACCCTCTCTCTCGTCCGTCATTGATGCGGAGTTCCCGATTTGGAACCAATGGCAGCAGGGGAGCATTGAGAACAAGCTCTGGGCACACGGACTCAGCCAATTCTCCCTTTGGGCCTCCATCGCCCATGAAGAGGTGGTGAGTTCAGAGTCCGAGGACAAACTCGGGATTTGGACGTCGCTGGTCTACAGCCAAGCGCTCGGGTACACCCCGTGGGCGCACTACGGCCAAGGAGTCTGGGCTCATCTTTCTTTCATGCTGCCTGTGGATGCTGCCAGCGGTGACAACCCCCGCGGAGATAAAACGCGGCGTCTCATGTTGGCTCGGGCACCCATTTTTGCTCTCGCCATCAAGTTCTCCCATGACCTGGAGCTGATCACGGGTGGTGAGGGGTTCTCCGCATGTTGCGCAAATGGAGACGTCGAGTTGCAACGGTTCAACCCTTACATTGAGGTTAACCCCTGCTCTCCGTCGCTCTCTTGGAGGAAGCGCGCCTTCTTTCAGCCTAATGCTATCGGGGAGATTGGCGCGACCAAGCGCGAACTGGAGCGATTGGCTGCTCCTAGCACCCCCACGAAGACTGGTGGATTCAGTCCGGAGTTCGCCAGGCATCGTCTCGTCAGCAACACATACGCTGTGAAGGTGCAAGAGGCTGGATCGTCGATCCCATTTGCGCTCGAAAATGAGTACCCGAAATATTCGGGTTACATCATGGAGGAGCATCTGGCGCCGTCCACTATGTTTCTTGACATCGACAAGATGATCGGGAAGTACAAACAAGAGTGGATCACGAACCCCGAGAGTGAGGTGCTCCCCAGCCTGAGTAGGCCTAAGACCTCTCATCTGACTACATACGACCAGAATGCCCTCGAAAAAGAGTGGATAGGTTGGGGAAACCAAATGTTCAGGAACGTCATCCTGACCGTGTTCCCGGAATTCGCCCTCTCATGCATTGATTCTGATGTCCCGACTATACCGTCGGTGTTGAAGGGCCTCCTGCCTATGAGCACTACCGGAGTCACTGGTATCCTCGCCGCGATGGCAGCGGGTTGGGGGCCTCCCACATACTTGGAGGAGCCAACGATTAAGGCCAATGCCCAGGTGCTTGTCTTCTACGACCTTTGCTTTGCGTCGCGCGGGAAGAGCAAGAAGGGCTCTTACATCACGGCGGATGAGTTCAGTGCGCAACTGGACACTCTCCGGTCTACTGACAGCGGGCCACGAAAGGGATCCATCCCGAAGATCCAATTCCACTGCCCGTACGGGGAGAGCGGTTACCACATCCCCATCGCCACCATGGTCGAAGAGGCCACACGGCTCACTCATGACCGCGAAAAAGCGGTTGGAAGGGGGGCCATGGAGTATGACACCTGCATTTTTGCGACCCGTCTCCATGACCTGGCCGATTGGGATGAGAAAAAGCAGGTGTCGGTCATCAAGAGCAACGCGCAAACCCTCATCCACACCACCCTGGAAAGGCTTGAGTCCGTGAGGAGAGCTGGATCGAATGTGGTGATCCTCATTTCGGTTGCGTCATGGCTTCAGCCCGCTCGAAATACCAACATGCTCGGCGTCATCACGACGTTCATCAGGGCAGCGATGAAGAGGAACTTGATAGTGGTTCCTGCGGATTTCGCCTTCTGGGGCGACCACTGTGTCGGCAGTTCCGGCGCCCCCGCGAACAAGTACAGAGCTGTGGTAGCGCTCCCGGCTCTCGCCAGCGCGGCCGTGGGCATCTCGTGGACGCTACACCGCGTCATGAGTGCGACCAATGCTGCGAAAACGTTGGGCATGTTGTACAAGAAGACCATGTATCCTCCCGACGAGGACGCGAAGGTGAAGGCCGAAAAGTTTCTCCAGACCAAGGTCTGGGATGATTCGTTAACCTACTCCACCGCCCCGCCAGCGAAGGTCGCCGGGGCAGATAGCTCTGGTCAATCGCATGACGTAGAGATGACTGATGCGGCATCTGAGGTGACGCCCCCCGCACAGGCGGCGGCTCCCTCTGTGGCGAAGGCTCCTGCCCGCCAGGCCGAGCCCAAAGGCCCTACGCCGAAGATGATGTCGCCACCGACGCGCCCCGTCTCGCCACCGAAAGCCTCGCCC